GCTTCCCTTGACTTATTTTAGCACTTTGCTAACCTTACCATTCTACTTTCTTTTTCACCCGTTAATCACTCTGTCATTCAAAATCAACTCAATTAACATTCGACACTCAAATTCACAACAAAATAGGAATAGATACCTTGAATCATACACAGAGTCACAAAATACTAAGTTAACATCCTAAACAACTAATAAACACTGAAAAACAAACAAATAAACAACATAAAAGATAGAATTTCACAAACAAACATTGGGTTGCCTCCTAAGAAGCGCTTGTTTAACGTCTCATAGCTTAACGCCTGTTTCTTTAAGGATCATGCAGTGAAATAATGGTGGTGAGTCTCTCCATTTCACCACCTAGGTATGGCTGGAGCCTTTGTCTATTGACTATCTAACTTCTCTGAGTAGCTGGATCTTGTAATTCCACAGCTCCATAAGGCTTCACCTCTCTCTCAAGAAATGGTCCTGACCATTTTGATTTCAATTTTCCAGGGAACAACTTCAACCTACAATTAAACAGGAGTACAAATTGTCAAGGCCTGAATTCTCTCTTGAGGTTCTTCTTGTCATGATAAGATTTCACTTTTTCTTTGTAGAGTTTAGAGGACTCATATTCACTGAGTCTCATTTCCTCCAGTTCATGCAAGTTGTAGCTTCCTATTTTCACGTGCTACTTCAGAATCAAAGTTCAAAAATTTCAAGGCCCAGTATGCCTTGTGTTCTAACTCCACTGGTAAGTGACATGACTTACCATACACCAATTGAAATGGAGTGAGACCTTTAGGAGACTTGTATCCAGTCCTATAAACCCAGAGTGCATCATTCAATTTTAGTGACCAATCTTTCCTTGAGGATGTCACAGTTTTCTTCAGAATGCGTTTAATTTCGCTGTTTGACACCTTCGCTTGTCCATTAGTCTGTGGATGATAAAGTGATGCTATTTTATGTCTAACTCCATAATGCTCCAGACATTTCTGTAGTTGAACATTACAGAAATATGAACCTCTATCACTGATTAGCGCTCTTGGAGTACCGAGCCTATAGAATATGTTTTTCATGAGAAACTTTATAACAGTTTTGGCATCGGCTTTAGGGGTTACAACTACTTCAACCCATTTTGATACATAGTCAAATGCCACCAAAATATATTCATTGGAAAATGAGGATGGCAGTGGTCCTACAAAATCAATTTCCTAACAATCAAACACTTCAACTTCTAGAATGGTGTTCAAGGGCAGTTGTTACATTGCTGAACATACTTGTGTGCATCTTTGAATATAGTGGGCCAATAAAATTCGAATTGGAGGACTTTTGCAGCAATCCTCTCTTCATTAAAATCCCCACCATAGGGAGAATTATGACAATGCCACAATATGCTTTAAATTTCATCTGATGCAACGCATCTTTATAATCCATTAGCTCCCAGCTTAAAAAGATGAGGATCATCCCAGACATAGTACCGAATATCCTTCAAAAATTTCTTCTTCTGATTCCGGTTAAAATCTTTAACGATAACACCTGCTGCTTTGTAATTAGCCATGTCTGCAAACCATGGCCTTTCTTGCACCAAAAGAAGTTTTTCATCTGAAAACTCTTTTATCACTTCCATTTCTTTGCTGGTCACCTCCTGGTTCACTAATCTTGATAGATGATCAGCAACAAAAATTTTCACTGCCATTTTTGTCCTTGATAACTAAATTGAATTCCTGCAATAACAAAATCCATCGAATTAATCTTGGTGTTTAATCAGATTTAGTTAACAAATATTTAATTGCAGCATGATTAGTATAAATTACAACTTTGGAACCAATCAAATAAGATCTAAATTTTTTCAATGTACACATTATTGCTAGTAATTCTTTTTCAGTGGTAGCATAATTCACTTGTGCTTTATTTAAAACTTTACTAGCATAGTGAATGGCATGAAAAACTTTAGATTTTCTCTGTCCTAGTACAGCCTCTACAACATAATCACTAGCATCACACACTAATTCAAAATCTAAATTCCAATCAGGGGTGACTATGATAAGAGCTGAAATTAATTTTTGTTTAAGTAATTCAAAAGCATGCATGTATTCAGCATCAAAATTAAAAGGAGTATCCTTATTGAGTAAATTGATGAGTGGCTTTGCAATCGTTGAAAAGTCTTTTGATTCCTTTTACATTTGTTGGTGGTGGTAGCTTCTTAATTACCTCCATTTTTGCTTTATCCACTTCAAATCCCTTGGAGGAGATCTTGTGGCCCAGCACCACACCTTCAGTCACCATAAAATAGCATTTTTCTCAGTTGACCACCAAATTTGTTTCAACACACTATTTCAGTATGGTGTCTAGGTTTGCCAAGCAATCTTCAAATGATGATCCAAAGACCAAGAAGTCATCCATGAATACTTCTATGCATTTCCCCACTAGATCTGAGAAGATATTCAATATGCATCTTTGGAAAGTAGCTAGTGCATTACACAATCCAAATGGCATCTTTTTATAAGCAAAAATACCGAATGAACATGTGAAGACAATTTTTTCCTGATCTTCTGGATCTACAGTAATCTGATTGTAACCAGAATATCCATCCAAAAAGTAGTAGAAGGCTTGTCTAGCTGATCTCTCCAACATTTGATCCATAAATGGAAAACGGAAGTGATCTTTTCTAGTAGCCTGGTTAAGTTTTCTTGAGTCAATGCACATTCTCCAGCCAGTAACTGTTCTTGTAGGATTTAATTCATCTTTGTCATTTCTGATTACAGTCATCCCTCTTTTCTTTGGGACAACCTGAACTAGACTAACTCAGGCACTATCTGAAATAGGATAAATCATTCCAGCATCCAGTAGTTTCATCACTTCCTTCTTTATAACCTCTTTCATGGTAGGATTCAGACGTCTCGGAGGTTGAGCCACTGGTTTGAAATCTGCTTCCATATGAATCTTGTGCATGCAATAAGAAAGACTAATACCTTTAAGATATGATAAAGTCCATCATATAGCTCCTTCATTTGCTTTCAATACTGAAATCAATTTTTCCTCATCTCCTTTTGATAATGCACTGCTAATTACTACTGGTTTCTTCTCTCCATTTTCAAGAAACACATACTTAAGATGTGATGGTAACATTTTCAGCTCTAATTTTTGCTCCTCTATCTTCTCTTCCTGAGGCAAGTTTTCATAGTGAGCTTCATGTGGAGGTAGTTCTTTAGAGTATTCAAGATTCTTCAAACAATCTTCAATCTCCTTTTCCTCTTCTTCATTTAAATCCTAATAACCTTCAATTAAAGCTTTTTCCAATGGACTGGACTTGTGCAATTGTGTCTTTTCCACCATGCATAGCTCATCAATTACATCCATCATAAAGCATTATTGTTTATCTTTAGGATGGTGCATAGCTTTAAAGACATTAAAATTCACTTCTTCATCATGTACTTTCACTTTGAGTTTGTCATCATCTATGTCAATAATCACCATGGTAGTCTTCATGAATGGTCTTCCTAAAATTAGAGGAACTTTCACATCTTCTTCCATATCCATGATGACAAAATCAACTGGAAATACAAATTTATCGATCTTCACTAAGACATCCTTTGCTACACCATAAGGAAATTTCATAGATCTATCTACCAGTTGCAAAGTCATTCTTGTAGGCAATCCTTTTCAACATGGATAATGGCATCAGATTGATACTTGCTCTCAGATTCAATAAAGTCTTTCCCACAAGTAATGCACCTATGGTTACTAGAATTGTAAAGCTACATGGATCCTTTGTTTTCTAAGGTAAAGATTTCTGGATTATTGCACTGCAACATGCCTTTAACTCAACTGTCTATTCTGAGAATCTTCTTTTCTTTGTGAGAAACTCTTTCATAAATCTAGCGTAGGTTGGCATCTGCTCCATAGCCTCCATGAAAGGAATGTTAATTTGCAATCTTTAAAAATGTCCATGAATCTGGCAAATTGTCTCTCCTTGTCTTTCTTGGAAGGAATCTTAGGGTATGATAGGTCTTTTGATTACAGTAGCTCACCCTTGTCCTTCTTTTTATCACTCTCATTCTTTTCTTTTTCTTTCTTTTTCTCACTATGTACACTTCTCTCATTATTCTTTTCAACTTCTTCCTCACTTCCACTCTTCTCTTTTTCACTCTCTTTTCTCTCCTTCTCTTTTCTCTCTTTCACCTCCTCTTTATTTGCCAAATGATCACCAATCCCTCTTTCAATCTCCTTACCACTTCTTGTGGTAATTGATTTGCAATGTTCCTTTAGGTTGGTTTGTGTGTTGGCAGAGAAATGTCCTGAAGTTTGCTACTCTGATAGCTGTTTTGCCAACTGCCCCGCTTATGTCTCTAATTTTTTTATAGATACTTCAGTGTTCTTCTGGTTTGTCATTGACATCTGCATGAATTTCTATAGGGTATCCTCCACTTCTGTTGTTGTTGATTGTATGAAGATTGCTGATGAAAAGGTGGTGTGGTCTGTTGGATGGTCTAGCTTCTTGTCTTCACCCATATCCTTGGTTTTGGTTCTGCCTCCAACCCTGTGAAAAATTGTTAGAATAAGAATTAGTGTTAGGGTTAGAAAAATTACCTCCCCGAGGTGGGTTGCTCATATAATTAACTTCCTCATTTTCTACATTGTGAGTTGGGTAAGCATAGTTGCTATTTAGATGGTCCCCTCTACAGAAATCACACTTGAGTACTTAGTTAGTTGTGGAGTGAACTGAATAAAGGTGTTGTGGCAACTTGGTCATCTGTTTAGTGAGGGCTTTAATTTGTTGAGTTAAAATTTTATTTTGAGTAAGAATAGCATCTGATGTGCTCAAATCTAAGACTTCTCTTCTTTGCACTACCCTTCTATTATGCTAAGCTTGCCTATCAGTGGATGAAATAGCATTAATTATTCTTGTGGCTTACTTTGCATCTACTGTCATCATTGTTCCACTAGCAACAACATCCAAAATCATTTTAGTGTCTAGCCGAAAACCATTGCAAAATATATTCAACTGATCCATATCTTCAAACCCATGGTTAGGACATTTCCTAAGCAAGGACTGAAAACGTTCTCAAGCTTCATAGAATGCTTCATCTTGACCTTGTCTAAAAATAGAGATATCAGATTTTGTACTAACATACTTATAAGGTGGAAAGAATCTGGTAAGAAATTTTCTTTCCACATCACTCTGCTTGTTAGACTCTGATTTGGATGTGATTTTAACCATTCTTTTGCTTCCCCAATAAAAGAAAATGGAAATAGCTTCAAATATGTTGCCTCCTCATCATCATCATCAAATCTCATAGTGGACACCAACTCATAAAAAGTATCAAGATGGGCATGTGGGTCTTCATGGTCCTTACCTGAGAACTGATGTGAACTAATCAAATTTAGGAAAGCAGGCTTAATTTCTACAACCCTTGCATTTGGTGGAACCACTATACATGAATAGTGCCTTGGACCTTGACGCATGGCATAATCACCAAGAGTTCTTCTTGGTGGTGGATTTGCTCTTAATCCTTCATTCCCTCCATGATTTCCACCATTCCCATTGTCACCTTGGTTATTTTCTCCAAGATCAGTCATTTCTTCCTTTTCTGAATCTGAGTGAATTTTCAATGGTTATGCAGTTGAAGACGCTCCTTGTTATGCTTGCTTATTTTTCTTCCTTGTTGCACTATTATTTCTTCTAGATGTTCTTTCAATCTCTGGATCAAACAACAATTGATTTGCAGGAGCTTTTCCTTGCAATATCATAAACAAGGAACTTGAAATAAGATTAGCAACAAAGAGTAATCAGATAAACAAAAATCAAATAAAACTAATTACAATACTCAACTAAGTATACTTAAAACCTAATACAATTTGCACATTGCTCCCCGACAACGATGCCAAAAACTTGTTGAGAATTTTCCTTCAAACATGACAAGTGTACCGGGTATATTGTAAGTAATAACCAGTAGGTACCGGAGTATCGTCCTCAGGGAGCAATTCAAATGTATTAATTATTAAGATACAAATTAATGAGCTTATATACAATAGAATTGATTGATGATTTTTATGAAATTTTGAATAAAAATTAAAATGTTAAATGATAATGTAAAATATGGGTAAAATTCAAGTTTAAGAAATTAGGATTGAATTTCATCTATCTCCCTCTCTATATTCTAATAATTCAACAATAAATATAGCAACCATTTCCAATGAATTTGATGCAAAATACAAAAGTCCTATATTTCAATTCCTTGAAAATATATTTCTAAGATAATTTCTCAAATGTTGATTCCTCAAACAATTAACAAACTATCCAGTATTAAAATCAGGATTTAAAAGTAATCAATAACTTAAAATCTATTCCAAGAGTAACAAGTTATTGAGTAATCTCAATCAGATCTAGATCTAAGTAATATTTTTTCAAATATAACTAAGATTTGACACTACTAAAAAGTCTGTTTATACAGACAGATTTTTAGAGCATTACAGATGGTTTTTTCTATTACAGACGGATATAAACCGTCTGTAATATCCTCGTCAGTAAATAATTACAGACGGATTTTCAAATCCGTCTGTAAGTTACAGACGGAAAAATCTGTCTGTAAGTTACAGACGGTAGAATCCGTCTATAAGTTATAGACGGTAAAATCCGTCTGTAAATCACAAACGAAAAAATCCGTATGTAAGTCACAGACGGAAAAATCCGCCTATAAATTACAGACGAAAAAATCCATCTGTAATCCGTCGGTGATATATTTTACTATAATTGATATTTTTTTATTTGTATAGATAGTTATTTCCTGCTGTTCTTGATTATCACAATTTATAAACAAAATAGAAACTATAGATTCGGCATCTAAACATTCCAAAATGATTTATAAAATATAAAATTTAAATGTTGTTACAAAGGAAGAAAAAAAAGTATCTAAATAAATACATTTAAAAATAAAATACAAGTCTTCATCAGGAATAATCTATATGGTCAGAATCCGAAGGAGCATCATCATCAGTAGAGGAATGATGCATGGAGGTGAAAACTGGTGGTGCTGGAGCTGGTGGAGGAGGAGGAAGAGGTGTGGAGCTGCTTGCTCTCATGAGCTCAAAATAAGCATGCATCTGCTGCATTTGCATATGCTGCTGCGTCATCTGCTGCTGGACCTCCCTTTGCATTCTCGACGCCACCTTCTTCTCTATCTTCTTCTCCATTTTCTTTGCCCACTTCTTCTTCCATGCACTTTCTTTGCTCTTCCACATCTCCTCATTCTGCTTCTGGAGTTCTTCATTGAGGGCATGGACCTGAGTGCGGACCATGTCCTCTACATCCTCAGGTGCAAGAGAAGGGGCATCTCCAGTGACAGATGCAGGGGACATGGAGTCTGCAAAGCGGCCCCCCATGCCATAAATGCGACCTTTATAAAGGCCACCCACTGTCTGTGACCACATAGCATCCTCATCTACTGACTCTGGATTCTGAGAAGATGCTTCCTCAAGCCTTTGAATATAGTCATCCTACAGTTCAGTTCAGATAATTAGATATTAGTTTGGAGAACTATTTAATAAGTCGCTAATAATAACATATATTATCAATAACTATGACTTACATATGTGGCCTGAGATCGTGTATCAACCCACAGGTTTTTGTCCTGCCTGCGAGTGTGTGTCTCTTTAAACAACTCTCCAGTAGTAGGTGGCCTCTTCAATGACTTCTCCTGCAATTAGAAATAAATCACAATCTCAAATATGAAATTATAGATAGAGTAAACTGAATTTTAAAATCACATACCAAGTTTGTCTTACTGCCAGCCAAAGTCATAGACCCACCAGTATGCAGTGACCCCCCTTTATTAGATGCCCTGTTTGTCTTGTTCTTTATAGAGAGATTTTTAAACTCATCTGTACCCCAATACTCTTGCAAGGCATGAAGAAAGTTGGGTCAGCAGTAGAAGGGTCTTGGCGAGCCTCAGTGTACATCTGTCTTAGTCGCTTTGCAGTGCGACTCTTCCAGGCCTTGAAAATCATCTTTTCATCCTGGGGGGGAATGGAGAAGTTGCTCTACAGAAACACAATTTCATTAGAAGAGGTACAAACAGTCATATGTAATTGCACTTAGTTAAAATTAATACACTATTATTACCTTCCAATCTTTGAACCATTCTATCTTTGTATCATTTGGCACCTTTGAAAAACTTCTGTAAGGCGCATCAAACATCTTCTTAATCGTATCTGTGACCTGATGGAGACCTTTCTGTGGTGGTATCCAACTGATAACACAATAAAATAAAACATAACTACTAACATTCACATAAAATACGCAATGTTAGGCATATTTGATTGAATTACTTACCAAGTGGACACATCCCATCTCAAAGTTTCTAACGATCTCGATGATGCCTGGGTCTGTGATGACTGCTGCCCGCTTACAGATGGGACAGCAGTGGATCCATCTCCTGTGCCCTGTGTAGCAGGTGACTGTGTGGCCTGTGTAGTAGGGGGTGCAGAGTGTGAAACTCGCTGTACTGGAGGGGGAGGAGCAATATACCCAGGATTCGGCACCATGATAAATTGCTCCTGTCCCCTAACCTGGGAGGTCTGCACTGTTGCTGGTGTGGACGTCGAAGTCGGAGCGGTAGGTGAAGAAGTGTTGCCACGATCAGTTTGCTAAGTAATACCCTTCTTACCTTTACCTTTACCTGCCATATCTGAATCAAACCATATATATGTTTAGAGACAAATACTATAATTTGTTTAAAATATGAATAATATTGGTGATAACTCAAATTAAATAATCATGGCAACATAGTAAATTGACAAACCTACTTACTTTACCTCATTTACTCTGATAGTTCAAGACTACCTTCATCATCATTCGATGAAAGTTCATCCATAATTCCTTCATCCTCGTCTTCTATGATGTCATCCATTTCATTATATCTCATAACTTGGGTAGGAGGGTCAATTATTTCAATTTCATTCAAAGGAGAAGATAAAATTGGAGGGACAACATTGTCTATTACTACACGTGAAGGAATTGAGTCATCAATTTGATATGCATCTTCATCATCTACTTCATCACTTTCAATTCGACCCCTTGGTTTAGTTTTAATTACAATCCTCCAACTTTTATTACATTTTCCATGGTAAGATAAGAAATATACTTGTCTCGCATTTTGTGCAATGATGAAGGGGTCAAAGCCTCTATATCTTTTGGTATGGTTAATCTCAATTATATTGTAATGGTTATGTTTACGTGTACCTGTTGGACGTGTTGGATCAAACCATTCACACTTGAATAAGACAATCCTTTTTATGGTTTCACCAGCATATTCAAGCTCAACAATTTCATGAAGTTTTCCATACCAATCACAGTCACCATCACTTGAATTTCCTCTTACACTAACTCCACTATTATCTGTTTTTCTCCCTTGACATGATTCAATAGTTTGAAATTTATACCCATTAACAAAGTAAATTGGCCAACAATATGCTTTATTTTTTGGACCTCTGGACAAGTTATATAGGTCAGGATCTGTGATACCATTAATAGGATCACGCACCTACACATACCATAAATCGATGTCAATTGATTGAATACAGAATAATATTAAAAAGTTGATTAACTAACATGTTAGGGAAATGTCATGACTTACATAACTTTTGAACCATGATGGAAATTGATTAAGGGATTCGTGACCATATAATTGTTCAAAATGTCTGTAAACATTGCAACATCATTAACTAGATTTGAATGACCATGATCAGAAAAAATCATTAAAGCAATCATAAGTCACTTACGTTCTGAATGGTTGAACTTCATCACAATTTAATAAGATGTGCAAGTGGGCGGCCTCTGATTCATCACCTAAGATCCATCGTTCTTCGCATTTTCCAGATACACAACCTGGTTGGTTGAATATAGATAGACTTGGCTCATTACTACTTTCTCCCCCATCATCATTTCGACCAACCCGAGTTCTCCTAGATTGAACATGAGGTTCAAAATAGTATGTGCAAAAATTTGATGTCTCCTTTGATATATATGCCTGGCATATGGATCCTTCCACTTGAGCTCTATTTTTCACAGTCCTTTTGAACCCTCCAATTTCTCGTTCAAACGGATACATCCACCTGTATTGTACTGCT